TAATGATCGAGCAGCCCGAGAGCCATTAGCCAAGGCGTTAGATGTTTATCGACTTCAATGAAATATGAGACAGCAGCAGACAATGGCTCATTAGAGCGCCTAGAATACTCCAAAGCTTGGCTGGGCCCAAAACAAGTTTTTGGCTGCTGCCTAAGAGCCTCTAAGTTTTGTTTAGTGTTTTTTTAGGCCTCGCTAAACTGTGTTATTAGAATTTCCACAGTCGGCGTAAGTCGAGAGAGTTTTGTCTAAATTATAGTTTGGGCTGCCACATAAAATATACAAACAAGTTAATCCATTAGCGGGCGCGGTCACCAGATGCCACGGCTGCCGCTGTTGCTGTTGTTGTTTCTGCTGCTTCTTCTTCACTTGACGTATGCCAACAACAACAACTCGTTGCTTACAGTTATAACTGGTAAATCGTATATTGTAGCGCCTGTTATTAACCACTCCAGCTCAAGCTTTGTACTCAAACCATTCGTATGCTAATATCGAATATGTGTCAGCAGCATCAGCAGCTCCAGCATCTGACTGATTTGATCCACGTTGGAAATTATGATATTTACTGTTTGCGGTACTCATCCGCAGAGGTCGCCGAGTTAAATGAGCCGTATCTTCTAGTGGCTTCTAAGCCGATGACTAAACCTGAAGGCTTGTGGCATTGTTTGAGATGTTGATAACACAATTTTCAAAAATGTGGCAAAGAAAAATAAGATGAGGCAGAAGAATGGGAAAAGAACACTTGAGCGCGGCTTTCACATGCTTACCAAGAATTTGAGTTGCGGTTGGCTTTTTCAAATTCGTTTGGCTTCAAGTTTTGTTGTTTTTCTTTACTTTATTTTTTGTTGGAGCGACTTCTGTGGATCTTTGCGTTGGCTGCCGCATGTGGCATGTGGGCGTCCTAGACAACAGGCAGCGACAAAGGGCGTTATTAGTTCAAAGTCGTGAACAGGCGTGGGCCAGCTGCTGCTGCTGCTGCAGGTACTGCAAGATGTCCTAGATAGCAGCGAGTGTAAAACAGATTTCCGGCTAACTGCCTAGTTGAGTGAGTCGCTGCGCGATTCTGATTTACAATTGCTGGCTAACAGCTGTAAACGCGGCTCAGAAGTAAACCAAGACAAAGCAATTGACTCTTTAACCCGCATTGCATGAATAGCGGCAATTGCAGCAAATATGCATAAATAGCAATAAAATTAATTGCAATACTCTCTGTCTGCTTGTCTGTCTGTCTGTCTGGTTGTCTGTCTGCTTGCATGTCTTTCTCTCTCTCTCTCTCTCTCTTGCTGTCATTTGCCACGCAATTTTCACGCAAGAGGAGAGAAAAAAAGCGCCGCCAGCATTGAAAACTTGGCAACTTGACAAATGTTGCGTTGCAATAAAATTGTAAAGCGCAAAACGAAATAAAATAATAATAGTAAAAGTAGTCATAATAAAAGAGCACAGCATAAAACTAGACAAGGCAATTGCAGCTAGCTTGATTGATGGCAGCGCCGCCAGCAATAACAGCAGCAGCAGCAGCAACAGTTGCTGCCAATTTAGCCAGACTAGTGTCAGCTGCTGGCAGGGCTGACTGTCTGACCGACTGTCAAAATCAGAGCCAGAATGCAAATGCCTGAACAGTGGAAACTTGGCCTGCAGCATCAGCGATTCCAATCAATTAGTTGTTGCTGTTGCTGTTGCTGTTGCTGTTGTTGTCTCGGCCATTGGGTCAAGTCGATATTCAATAAACTATCGTATTTTATTGATAAATTATGCGCTGACTATCGCGACACCGATCGGCGTCGCTTTACACATGTCCGTGCCTGTGTATCAATAAATACTAACGGTAATTGCAGTCAGATCTCTATCCCTCTCACTCTCTCTATCTCGCTCTGTCACTCACTCACCATCGCTCGCACTCTTAAGTCTCGCTGATCGCACACACAGCTTCCCATCAGCCAACATCGCCGGAAGTCTCTGTGCGGCAAATACTCAAGTCTCTTGGGCTTTATTTTTTTCTTTCTTCTTTTCTTCTTGTTGTTGTTTTGTTTGTCTGCTGTTGTTGTTGCAACACTTCTCGGCTCTAGTTTAGTTGCTCCGGCCCGGTTAGGCTATAGCCACTGTATCAATAAATTGGTAACACATTCAGATTCAACTTTCATACCGGATAACCCATATTTCGTATTATTTTGTATTTAATTATTATTTCAGCTGCTGGCGCTTTTTTGTTTAACAATTTCCAAATGGGTTTTGTCTCTAATGAAGTGCTGTTAGTGTGTGTCTAAGGCGGAACTTATTAATTTTGTTGTTTCAACAAACAGATTCGAGAAGGCAAAGGAAGCACTTTACCATTGTTTGTGATCAATTTTCTAAAGTCATTTATATTTAAGTATTAACGAGGAAGTATAGAGATTTATAGATCATGTTTGGTCTTAGAAGAAAGTGTTCAAGAGTTTCAACAATAGGTAGATGGGAGAATCGGAAATGAGAGTAAGTTGAGGGCTCTTAAAATGAGCTAAAAAGTTCTTAGAGAGTAACTCAGTTTTATATGCTGCTAAGGAATATCCCTTAAGTTTCCCTTAGTTGACTTTCAACTTCTTTTACTTCTTTGTGTTTTCAACCCTTTCCCCCTCTCTCTCTTCTTTCATCACTTGACAGAATTTGTATTAAATTTTCCAGAAGTATTCGAGTTTTTTATTTCTTTTATATTTGTCTACGTTTATCTTATTAATATTCAAGCCTTATGTGCCACATTCCTCTCACTTGATTGCTCTGGTAATCAAATTGCAATAACCCCAAGGCATTTCTTTCTGATTGATTAACTTCTATCCACTTGCCTTTCTAATTCTCTAAGAATATAATATTTAAATTGCAATTACTCCGCTGCATTTCAATCTCATCTACTGAGGGCGTCTCTCTCCTTGCCTTCTTTTCTCTAACTTCATTCATGTGATTGGTAGTCAATCTCCAGTTACCAGACTCTTTTACTTCTTTCTTATTAGCCTCCCATTAACAAGGAATTATCCCACACATAGAACTTAATTATTTTTCAAAGCGTATCAGCACTTCGGCTCTGATTTTCTAAGCTCTGTAATGGTCGCAAGCCAAACAAAAAAATAAGGGTAAATAAAAATAACGAAAGAAATAGTTCAAAAAGTACGCGCGCTTGCAAAAGCTTTGAAAAGGTACAGCGAACCTTTTTCAGTGCTTGCAGCGCTGCATTGAGAGCTTTCGGTGGGTGCCGAAAAGTTGTCGCGCACGCGCAACAGCTGATCTTGTCGCGCTGTGCGAATTCTGCAGCGACAAATATTAGTGCAGCCAACTTTAGGGGCAATAAAACCTGTAAGCTTTTATCTACCCAAAGCTATATAAGCCGAAAAAGTGCAAAATTGAGCCCTTTTTCTAGAACTCCACGTTGCGACTTTACACTAAATCCATATATATATATGTATATAATATATATACATATATGGTGAGGAACTCGTGCGCTGCAATAATTAATAAAGGTACGAAGATTGGCATATTGTGGCATATTAGCTAAATAAAGCAACTTTTTCTCTAGCGCAGCAACAAATTTTCTTGACGCCCGTGTCAAATTTGGGCACGGCAATATAGAAAAAGCCTGCCCTAGACACGGGCTCTGTTTTAATTTTTTTGGCCCATCAAGATCGATCGCAGCAACTTTATCGAAAGGCTGGAGGAACTTCAACAGCAGGCGGGGGAAACACAAACGTGAATCGTGGCTCATAAATTGCATAGTGACAATTAAACCTATAAAACTTTTAACCCCAAAAACTCTAAGCCGCGAAAATCTAAAAGTGGAAAAAAAAAAAAACACACAGTCAAGAACAAAAACTCTAGTTCTACCATAATCAACTAAACGAAAAAAAAAAAAAAAAGAACAAAAACCACACTTCAATTACATATGTGACGTACACTGTAAAAATTTTGCTACTAGCAACTAAAATAGTTCACCAAATTAAAAGAAGAAAAATGTAAAATTAAAACCCACGACTTAAAACTAGCATGAAAATAGAAAAAATAATACGATGACGTAAAAAAAAAAAAAAAAAAAAAAAAAAAAAACATCAATAACATAATAATGAAATAATAAACTTTATCATATATATGCATATATATATATATATATAGATACATATATGCACATATAAAAGTAGAACAATATCAAAAAAAAAAAAAAAAAAAAAAAAATGAAGTAAAAGAAATAATAAAAGAAATTATATATAAATGTAGAACAAAAAAAAAAAAAATAAATAAATAAAAAAAAAATTATTTTTGTTTAAAAAAAAAAAAATAAATAAATAAAAAATCGAAAAAGTAAGAAAGAAAAAATAATAATAATTTGAATAGATATAAATATAAAAAGAAGTATAAAAATGTAAAGGTAAAAGAAAAAAAAAAAAAAAACAAAAACTGTGTGTTTGTCCGCCCCTATATTCTTTTTGTAACCTCAACGCCACGCTACAGCTACCACGAGGAAAGGCCTTTCATCGCTGGAGTGAAAAAATCTAAAGATCATGTAAGTGCTGGAAGATACCCTGTACTCCCACTCCCCCCAACCCCAAACCATTATATTTTTTTTACATGAATTAATATATACAAAAAAAAAAAAAAAAAAAAAAGTAATAATATAATGTTTGGAAATAATTGCATGCAAGAATGAAGCAAAGCATATTTTTTTTTTTTAAATTAAAATAATTTGTTTTGCAACCACATTTTTAAATAAAATTATTAAGACCATTTTTCTTTATATTTATATCTATTTGTTTGCCAAGTGAATTAAACTAAATGATTTCACCTAAATTATGAAAAAAAAGAGGTAAAATAAACAGAGAAATAAATAAATAAATAAATAAAGTAGATAAATAAACCAAATTTAATAAGTTAAATCTATATAAATATATATCTATATATAAATATATATAAAAAAAAATAATAATAATAATAATAATCATATTAAATAAAATGAACAATTAAATAAATTAATGAAATAAATAAAACAAACTTAGCATGAAATGAGGAAAAAAAAAATGAGAATATAAATATGAAATAAATAAATAACAAATAAATAGGATTGAATAGCAAGAAAGATTTACGATAGAAAATAGAACAATTTAAAGAATAGCATAAAAAAAAAAAAAAAGAAAAAAAAAAAAAAAAAAAAAAAACTAATAATAATGTAAAATAATAATGTAGAATAATAACAACATTGTTTGTATAAGAAAAATAATCGATTGTAATCTTAGTATCCCAATGTCTAGATATTATTTAAATGAATGGAAATGAATATTATGAATAATAGGAATGAAACCAAGAACAATATGAGTCATTAATCTGGAAGAAGGGTTGAAATAATGGGGTAGGCTAGTTAGTGTTGGAGCTTCTTTGGGGTTTTTCTGGTAAAATTGTTTGTGAAAAACCATGGTTGGGTGGGTAAAGAGCGCGTGTGCCGAATGCCATCTATGGCCACGCTTAGTTGTGTCGGTGTTCTTGATGTAAATTTGTGCCCGTTCTTCCCCTAATTCCTCAGTATAATTTGTTTTTTTTTTTCGTGGAGTATAGCTCCACCTCGAGTTTAAGGGATCTTACAAATTAAAATTTATGAACTCTGATCGCAAGGCAGAAAAGAACCCCCCCACACTCCCGACGAGCGACGGCACAAGAAGGTCCCGCTTATCTGTCTTGCGACCGAAAAACAAAGCCAAGTCAGTGCTTTGTAGAGAGAGTCTCTCTGCTGAATGAACACTTTTGTTTACATAAATTTTTGGCGCCCAACGTGGGGCATGAAAGTATGCAGCTTTATAGGCATCACGCTTTCAGAGTCCCATTTTTAATGTTCAAATAATCAACACGGTCTTTTCTCTAATCGCAGAAAAAGAGTTGGCTGTTTGAAACACCCATTTTGGTGATGGTTGAAAACTCAGTGTCCAGAGTGCTGAAATAGATTGGACTTGCTTGGTCGGCCTATCGCAACTGTGACAGATGAGTCAAATCAATTCTTAATAGGGACTACGAAGCTGAAAGATTCGAGCTGAATCTCAGACCGAGAAACCCGAATAAGATAAATTCAACTTATAATAACACCTGTATCACCATGTTTGCTCGTTTGTCTTCGTATAGTTGTTATTTCATTTAGATATTATTTTAATTGTGTTTTGTAAAATTATCAGATACGATTCCAGAATATTGTATATTGGGCCCAGCTCGGATATCAATACTGATTGTTCTCTGGTAGTTGTTGCAGGGCCAAATGAGATGAATCTGGGTGCAATATAAACTCATACCCGTCTGGCCAGTAGATGTTGTTATGACAGAAGTTGCTAAATGTTGAGAGTGTTGTCTGGAACTTGTGTATATGCTGCATTGGCGTATCCTTGCCGAACACTCACACTTTAGTTAACTTTTGCATAGCAATACTCTATAACCAGTTTTAGTAGCAATAGCCCAAAATCCATTATTTCCCCTAATTGTATAATATAGCAAGAACAGCACACAACAGCACAAAACCTAGCTACCTTCCCCATTATATCAACCCAAACTTGTTACATTCATTAGCAAATTAAAAATATTTAGATACAAAATGCCTATTTCAAGAAGTCCTCAAGATATGCGCACAGTAGAGAAAACTGTTAGTTTGTGTAGTCTTTGTAGCCAAGGGATGAGCAATACCCAGCAATGTTATTGTACCCCTTGTAAGCACAATTTTCACAAGTTATGTCTAGAACAGTGGCTGGAAAATAAGCAAGAATGTCCGGAATGTCAGTCCACATTGGACCCAAGGTCAATTAAGCTGGTTATTGGTAACTGTTCACCTGACCCGAAACCAGCTTCAACATCAGCAATTCCAGGTAGTTCGCGTATGGTAACGCGTAATTTAGCCAAAGCATTAGGTGAAGTTCCGCCTGAGTCTCTAGAGCATCCCCAAGAGCGATCGCTCGAAGGCAGTGAGGTAATTATATCCGGTTTAGATGCAAGCCATAATTCTGACCGAAACGTAGTTCCTCCTCCAAGAGGCATTAGTACCCGCCGACGAGGCCGACCCAATCGAGCCGGCCATACTCGTCAAGAATCGGCAGGCGTTGATTATAATATAATTCAGCAAATGATCGAGCAGTCAGTCACTCGTGTGATGTCGGCGCTCCGTATTGATTCACGGCCCAGCTCAAGCGAGCAGCTGCCGTCTATTCCGACTCCTATGGCATACTCGCCAGGAGGTTCGTCTGTCCAAAGCAGAAGAACAGCTGACATTATGCAGAAATGGAATCTCCATTTTGATGGGTCATCTGAAGGACTAGGAGTGGAAGAATTTATTTATCGTGTGAGAGTCCTTACTGACGAAACTCTCGATAGTGATTTTATGGGGCTTTGCAAACATTTGCACATTCTTTTCTCTGGGAAAGCTAGAGATTGGTTCTGGATGCTCCCCTTATAGAGCTTTATTTGGGTTAGATATGATAACTCATGGTTCAGACTACAAGTTGATAAAGCAATTAACATTGCTTGAAGAACCATTAGTACCACTATCTCGATCAGATAACTTATCCCTAATTCGTAAAGATATACAGGCCAACATAAAACAAGCTTATGAACGAAATGTTAAACAGTATAATTTACGTTCTAAGCCTGTTACATTTAGGGAAGGGCAGGAAGTGTATCGCCGAAATTTTTCACTTAGCAAATTCGCTCACAATTATAATGCGAAATTAGCACCCCAATTTTTGAAATGTAGAGTGAAAAAGAAACTAGGAAATTGCTTTTATCTTTTAGAGAATTTGCAAGGTCAAGAGATAGGTACCTTTCATGCCAAAGACATTAAGCAATAGACATCCGAACATATTCCCGCTAATATTCCGTCTAACGGTGGTATATTATCGGGTGGTGTAATGGTCGCAAGCCAAACAAAAAAAATAAGGGTAAATAAAAATAACGAAAGAAATAGTTCAAAAAGTACGCGCGCTTGCAAAAGCTTTGAAAAGGTACAGCGAACCTTTTTCAGTGCTTGCAGCGCTGCATTGAGAGCTTTCGGTGGGTGCCGAAAAGTTGTCGCGCACGCGCAACAGCTGATCTTGTCGCGCTGTGCGAATTCTGCAGCGACAAATATTAGTGCAGCCAACTTTAGGGGCAATAAAACCTGTAAGCTTTTATCTACCCAAAGCTATATAAGCCGAAAAAGTGCAAAATTGAGCCCTTTTTCTAGAACTCCACGTTGCGACTTTACACTAAATCCATATATATATATGTATATAATATATATACATATATGGTGAGGAACTCGTGCGCTGCAATAATTAATAAAGGTACGAAGATTGGCATATTGTGGCATATTAGCTAAATAAAGCAACTTTTTTCTCTAGCGCAGCAACAAATTTTTCTTGACGCCCGTGTCAAATTTGGGCACGGCAATATAGAAAAGCCTGCCCTAGACACGGGCTCTGTTTTAATTTTTTTGGCCCATCAAGATCGATCGCAGCAACTTTATCGAAAGGCTGGAGGAACTTCAACAGCAGGCGGGGGAAACACAAACGTGAATCGTGGCTCATAAATTGCATAGTGACAATTAAACCTATAAAACTTTTAACCCCAAAAACTCTAAGCCGCGAAAATCTAAAAGTGGAAAAAAAAAACTACACACAGTCAAGAACAAAAACTCTAGTTCTACCATAATCAACTAAACGAAAAAAAAAAAAAAGAACAAAAACCACACTTCAATTACATATGTGACGTACACTGTAAAAATTTTGCTACTAGCAACTAAAATAGTTCACCAAATTAAAAGAAGAAAAATGTAAAATTAAAACCCACGACTTAAAACTAGCATGAAAATAGAAAAAATAATACGATGACGTAAAAAAAAAAAAAAAAAAAAAAAAAAAACATCAATAACATAATAATGAAATAATAAACTTTATCATATATATGCATATATATATATATATATAGATACATATATGCACATATAAAAGTAGAACAATATCAAAAAAAAAAAAAAAAAAAAAAAAACATGAAGTAAAAGAAATAATAAAAGAAATTATATATAAATGTAGAACAAAAAAAAAAAAAAAAATAAATAAAAGAAAAAATTATTTTTGTTTAAAAAAAAAAATAAATAAATAAAAAATCGAAAAAGTAAGAAAGAAAAAATAATAATAATTTGAATAGATATAAATATAAAAAGAAGTATAAAAATGTAAAGGTAAAAGAAAAAAAAAAAACAACAAAAACTGTGTGTTTGTCCGCCCCTATATTCTTTTTGTAACCTCAACGCCACGCTACAGCTACCACGAGGAAAGGCCTTTCATCGCTGGAGTGAAAAAATCTAAAGATCATGTAAGTGCTGGAAGATACCCTGTACTCCCACTCCCCCAACCCCAAACCATTATATTTTTTTTACATGAATTAATATATACAAAAAAAAAAAAAAAAAAAAAATTAATAATATAATGTTTGGAAATAATTGCATGCAAGAATGAAGCAAAGCATATTTTTTTTTTTAAATTAAAATAATTTGTTTTGCAACCACATTTTTAAATAAAATTATTAAGACCATTTTTCTTTATATTTATATCTATTTGTTTGCCAAGTGAATTAAACTAAATGATTTCACCTAAATTATGAAAAAAAAAAAGGTAAAATAAACAGAGAAATAAATAAATAAATAAATAAAGTAGATAAATAAACCAAATTTAATAAGTTAAATCTATATAAATATATATCTATATATAAATATATATAAAAAAAAAAATAATAATAATAATAATAATCATATTAAATAAAATGAACAATTAAATAAATTAATGAAATAAATAAAACAAACTTAGCATGAAATAAGAAAAAAAAAAATGAGAATATAAATATGAAATAAATAAATAACAAATAAATAGGATTTAATAGCAAGAAAGATTTACGATAGAAAATAGAACAATTTAAAGAATAGCATAAAAAAAAAAAAAAAAAAAAAAAAAAAAAAAACTAATAATAATGTAAAATAAAAATGTAAAATAATAACAACATTGTTAGTATAAGAAAAATAATAGATTGTAATCTTAGTATCCCAATGTCTAGATATTATTTAAATGAATGAAAATGAATATTATGAATAATAGGAATGAAACCAAGAACAATATGAGTCATTAATCTGGAGGAAGGGTTGAAATAATGGGGTAGGCTAGTTAGTGTTGGAGCTTCTTTGGGGTTTTTCTGGTAAAATTGTTTGTGAAAAACCATGGTTGGGTGGGTAAAGAGCGCGTGTGCCGAATGCCATCTATGGCCACGCTTAGTTGTGTCGGTGTTCTTGATGTAAATTTGTGCCAGTTCTTCCCCTAATTCCTCAGTATAATTTGTTTTTTTTTCGTGGAGTATAGCTCCACCTCGAGTTTAAGGGATCTTACAAATTAAAATTTATGAACTCTGATCGCAAGGCAGAAAAGAACCCCCCCACACTCCCGACGAGCGACGGCACAAGAAGGTCCCGCTTATCTGTCTTGCGACCGAAAAACAAAGCCAAGTCAGTGCTTTGTAGAGAGAGTCTCTCTGCTGAATGAACACTTTTGTTTACATTTTTTTTTTTTTTTTTTTTTTTATTTTTTTTTTTTTTTTTATTTTTTTTTTTTTTTTTTTTTTTTTTTTTTTTATTTTTTTTTTTTTTTTTAAATAAATTTTTTTTTTTTTTTTTTTAAATTTTTTAATTTTTTTTAAAATTTTTTTTTTTTTTTTTTTAATATTTTTTTTATTTTTTTATTTTTAAAATTTTTTTTTTTTTATTTTTTTTTTTTTTTTTTTTTTTTTTTTTTTTTTTTTTTTTTTTTATTTTTTTTTTTTTTTTTTTTTTTTTTTTTTTTTTTTTTTTTTTTTTTTTTTTTTTTTTTTTTTTTTTTTTTTTTTTTTTTTTTTTTTTTTTTTTTTTTTGATTTTTTTATTTTTAATTTTTTTTATTATTTATTAAATTACTTTTTATATTTTGGGGGTTTTTTTTCCTTAAATTTTATTAAAATAATTTATGGACCCGTTGGGGAGGGGGGGGGGGAAAAGGAGGGGGAGAGAGGGGGGGGGGGGGGGGGGGAGAGGGTGGGGGGGGGGGGTAAAAGGGCAAAAACCAAAAACACAACAAAAAAAACACAAACCACATATGGGTATGTGTGGCTGTTTGCGGTTGGCCAACACTCAAAGTGGCCGCCACGGTGCAACTTATGGGGCAGCAGTTGCAGTTGCAGTTGCAGTTGCAGTGGCTGATGATGATGAAGATGAAGATGAAGTTATTATTATCTGACAAGGGCATCAGCGCCGCACGGCCAACTGACTGCCTGGCTGCAAGCACTTAGCGCTGAGTTCGTCTTCTCTTAGCTATCTTTATTAGAGGCGTGACTAACAGCCGCCCTCCCAGCCCGCAGGCCTGCTGGCTGGCCTGCCGTACTGGCAAATGTGTACGCTTTGCTATTTGCTGAGCAGCAGCCATCATTATTCGATGTGTAAACGGCGGCGATGTCCGCAAATTTGATTAGCTTCATCTGCAGACCCAACTGCTGCCTCGATCGATCCGATGCCTCCTTCTGTTGTTGTTATTGCAGCCACAAGATGCTATCTCGATGCAGACTCGAAAGTGTTAGATTTTCCTGCTGCTCTTTTCTGTTCTCTTCTCTATTCTGTGCTGCATAAGAAATGAGGCATTTGGAAAGTCTAGAAAATTATATGCAGCAGCCGCCGCCGTCGGGTCGATCGATTCATTTTTACTTTTTAGCTGTGAAAGTGGCCAATCCATAAATCGTGCAGCTCCCACCAATTAGTGTGCAGCCTGACAATGTAGACAAACGAAAAAGAAAGCAATAAAAATAAAAATAAAAATAAATATATGTTTATATTTAAATTTATATATACACAAATTCCAGTGCAACACGACAAGAAAATTTATTTAAAAAACGAAAAAAAATAAAAATAAAGTAAAACAAGAATGTCATTGCTAACAAGCAGTGGGCAGGAGAGAAAAAAGAGCCAATGAACTAAGGAAAATAATTACAAACCCAGAACAATAATAATAAGCAGCAACAGCAACATGAGCAGCCTGTCAGCAACAGCAGCAACAACAGCAACAACTGCAGCAGCAGCAACATCGAACGCTGCCACAGCAACGGGCAACTTGGAGCCGGCAGTGGTGCCACGTACCGCCAATTTGCTGGCATGCAAACAATGGTGGCGCGTCTGCTTCTTGTATGGCGACCAGCAGAAATATTATCGACAGCTCTATAGCAAAGCGGCTGCCCAGAGACTGGCGGCCAGTGGCAGCAGCGCCAACGAGGCTAATCATGAAAATGACAATGCCAGCAGCAACAACAATAACTGCCAATTGAGGGGAACGCGGAGCGATGAGTACGATACGGTTGGCTTTGGCACTGGCGATTGCGATTTTATCGCAGCGCAATTAGATGCCGGCGAAGATGCGGACGATGGCATCGATCTGGGCGATAGCAGCAACCACCAACAACAACAACAACAACAACAACAGCGTAACAGAAGCACAACAGCAACAGCAACGGCCACAAGCAATCGTCCGCTGTTTCCCGCCAAATGTGAGACATCGACAACGGCGCCGCGTCGCAGCAAAAAGCTGCTGCGCTCGCTGCGTGCCCATGTCAAGGGCGAGCCCAAGCACAAGGAGCAGCAACAGCAGCAGCAGCAGCAGCAACAGTTGCCGCCAGAGGAGCCCACCAAACGCAATGCCAAGGTAACCGTGCTGGACGATCCCTTTTTGTTCGGCATCGATGCGGATCATTTGGGCGATCTGATCCGTGGCAAGCACTACAATACCACGGACGCCACGGAGCACATCGCCAAGTATTATAGCAGGCAGCTGGAGCAGCAGCTGGAGTCGAGCTGCACCGCTCAGGTGCTGGAAATAATCGAACAGTCCGAAGAGGAGGTGCTCAAGGAGGAGGAGCCCAAGCCGGCGTTGCCACCCAAGCAGAAGCAACAGCGCGCCGCACCGCCGCCACCCGCACGCACCACTGCACCAGCCCTGCCGGCAGAAGGAGCTGAATTGCTACCGCTTACCGCCAACGATCTAAAGTTTCTGAATTTGAGCCTGCGCCAACGCAGTTTGCCGCGCAGCATGAAGCCGTTTAAGGATCCGCATGATATTAGTTTCACTTTCAATGAGCTCAACAGCTCCAACTGCAGCGCCACGCAGCCACCGGAAGTGGTCGGCATAACCGAAACGGATCCAGAAGCAGCAACAGCAGCAACAGCAGCAGCAGCAGCAGGAGCACGAACAACAGGAGCAAACGCATCGAGCACACAGCAGGAGTCAAATGAGTGAGTAACTTTTTAGCCCCCCCGATCTTCGATCATTTGTCAGATGCAATATCGCTGACAATTTAAATGCATAACTTGGCAAAGTGATTGCCGTTGGTTGCTGCTGGTGGTGCCCTGTGCAAATAATGATTGATTACCCGGCAGCACCAGCGACAGCCAACAACTTGTTGCGCAAGTTGGCAGTAACAGAAGTCAATGAACACACATTGCGTGTTCTCCACACAGCACAGCACACAAAACCGCAAAACTGCACGCAACAGCAACGCACAGCAACAACAACAACTTGTTCTCAGTGCTGTTGTTGTTGTTGTTGCTGTCGCTGCTGCTGAAATTGAAACCAATGCGAGACGCTTGACGGTTAGCTGGGGCGCTCTTTGCTCGGCTGACTGACCGGCCGGCCGGTTTCGCTTGTTGCTCTGT